CTAGTAATTGTCTTAGACTCAAGACGAAAAGATCCCCAGGACTATGCGGACATGACTCAAATGCTCGAGAAGTAAGTTAAATCGATCATTATCCACCATATCAGTAACTTTGTTCATTTCCTGATATATCAAGTAATTGTTTCCTTTGTCTGGCAGGGTTTGGAGAAAATTCACCAAAAAAGCTCCGGGACTGCCGAAGAAGCTGCAATTTAGACACCCGAAAGTAAGTACTATAGTAACATGTTCCGCGCATCTCCTAGTGATTCAAGCGCTAATTTCATCAATACCATTTATAGCATGCTTGCTTATCAGTTTGATTGACCTCTATTTCTTGTAAAGTGGTTGTGGCTGGAAGCCGGGAATAATTACTGTGGATACTACGTTTGCGAGTCCCTCCGCCACGCGACCTGTGAATGAGGGTACTCTGACGAACAATATGAAGTGCGTAAGCAATAAAATTCACAATTTTATTTTATTACCATCATTTGTGTTGAGTTTCATTTATTCATATATATATATATATATATATATATATATATATATGTATGTATGTATGTATTGACCCCCTTGTTCAAATTAGATGTTTCGGATGCGGGATGAACTCCTAACACCAGATCGTATGTGAGAAATTCAAGAGGAATTGGCGGCATTCTTTCTTGACCACGTGATCGCTGAAGACGGAGAATACTATGTGGACCCTGTGTTCATATATAATTAGAAGATTATATTGTAAGAGATAATTCTTGTATATATGTAGCCGGTAGTGTCGGATAGATATACGAGAACTTGTTGTCCGACCAATCTCTCGGAGAAGGAGAGGTGGTCGATATCACTTCTCTCTATATGCATATGTTCATGACGATCTTCTGTTTCCTTTATTTGCTTACTAGCTAGCGTGTCTAGTCCTCTCTATATATACGTATATATAGCGCCGTCCAAGCACGGACATAAGAGAGGACACTTCTCTCTATTAATTAGCTAGCTAACACAATATATGAAACACCTAAATTAAACCCCCAAAACCCCCAAACCCCCCCCCCTTCAAAACAAAAAACAAAAACCCTAGCCCCTGAAATGCGGACACGTGGATGCCTATTGGTCCCGGTTGGTGCCACCAACCGAGACCAAAGGCCCTCCTGCCTGGGCTCGGCGCACCGGCCACGTGGAGGCCCATCTGTCTCGGTTCATGTAAGAACCGGGACTAAAGGATTAGGGCATTAGTAACGACCCTTTAGTCCCGGTTCACAAATCGGGACAAAAGGCCCTTATCAACCGGGACGAATGGGAGTTTTTCTACTAGTGACAACGCCTTCAGGAAGGGAGCGACATTCAAGTGCCGCCATCACCGGATCCAACCACATAGTCAGAATCTAGGTTTTCACCCCGAAGAATCAGTCCAAGCATATTCGAGCAATGTCTTCAACAAGGTAACGACGTAAGTAAACATCCATTGCGAGGTATAACCACTTGGGGTGTGACCTAGGATTTCGCCCCGGAGCTGGAGACTGAGTGCTTGAGTAGCACCGTCATTGAAGTCACTCATGTGTTGTCACCACTAATTTTGCGCGATGTCAATAGCTACATATGATGCGACCGCCGTCACTGCACAACCATCCCTCTGCGTTAAGTCGTCGTCCATGATGAAACAACAATAATGTTAAACTACGTGTTGTGCTTAGTTTATAACCTGTTACGAAAAAAATAGCCATAATGGTAAACAAAACTGGATCAAATAAACACTACAATCAGGAAAGCGGGTGGGACAAACAGAGCTTCTGACAATCCATCGCAATGGCAAACACAACCTATATCGTCCAATACTTATTAAGAGACACTCCCCTTAACGAGACACACACTATGTTAACCTAGAGTTTGGATCGAGAATTTGAGTGTTGCTAGCTCCCCTTTTCACCCATGAGCACCCCGATAGTACTTGTATTAAACCCATATCCCAACTTGGTACAGTATAATCTTCCATGAAAAAAGCATCTACAGTACCAGCTTATCTGCATCTGAAGCTGAAACGACCATACGAAGTCTGAAACCTGAGTGCATGCAATGCAATGAATTCGATGGATGCAGGTCGAGAAGAAAACCCGATGCAGATGAATCCAATCCAATCCAAGCAACCACCGCGCAGTACGTCCACCAATGACTCCATGACAAGTATCAGTAGGAAGTACAGCCCAGTCAAGGCGGAGCACACAAATGCAGAAAGGCCGGCACTACTATATCGGCACCGCACACATGGGGCGCCCGGCGATGTGGCAGGAAAAGGGCCGAGCCAGACGAGTCCCGGCCCGGAGCTCGCTCGCTCGCTCACATCACATGCATAGATGGATGGAAAAGGGTGGAGCCAGACTAGACGAGGCCATGGAAAAGGCCACAAACGAGGAGGCACGGCACATGCAGCGCGCGTTCCCTGTTAAATGAAGAGGCCAAGACGAGGGGTACGGATTAGCATTGGCGCAACCATTCCTAGCTAGGCTCCTATGCCAACTGGCCCTGCACCGCAGATGCAGATGCAGATGCGGATATGTACGCACGCAGCCCGCCCGCCCTGCTGCGATCGTGCGCTGCTTTTCTGTTGCATGCTGTGTAGGATGGCATTGGAGAGGCGCTGGCTGTCGTCTAGGGTTAGTAGGGGCCGTCAGAGCATTGATTTTTGGTAAGCCTGCAGTTGCAATTAGTGGACGTGTTCGTGTGTATGCATGCCATGCCCATGCCATGCAGTCAGAAGGGAGGGACTAGTGTATAGCTGCTACGGAGTAGGAGTAGAGCGTGTATTAAGTTCGTGCATATCCACTCTGAATTAGTAAGTCTGAATGTTGAGGGCGCAAGGGAGAACGAGGGAGCACTCTTGGGCTAGCTAGTCTGATCTGTATGCTTCCTTTCCGTAGAGGTAGAGCTGTGGGCTACAGCACCCCCTTCTTCCCCGCCCACGACACCATGCATCCGAATCGAATGACCAACATGAGAAATACCCGTCCCCCACATGAGATCTAGGCTTACTCCCGCCTCCCGGCTTGCATGACATGACATGCAGCAGCACCACAAGCGTTGGCATGAACCAAGATGACCGTGTCTCGTCTCCTCCAGCCAAGCCAATTCCACGAGGCCCTGGCGATCCATGCGGTTCGGCCTTGAACCTGGAGCTGGAGGGAGGCGCCCCCCGCTCAGTTCGGCGCAGCCTTTTCCTTCTCACCTCCCGGCCCGCTGATGTAGGAGCACCGAGCACGGATCCGGTACACCACAGGTGTGCGGGGCCGGGCCAGCTTGTCAGCATTTTGCACGGCAAACAGCCGAGACGTTTCGTAGCCTCACCTCTCTAGTCTCTACACCACTCCGAGGATTCAGGCGATGGCGAAGCTGATTTGAGCCTCGCGGTGCTGTGCGCGCCGTATCTACGCTACGCATGCACCCTTCGGAAACCTGCACTGCACACGGCCGAGCGAGTCTTCTGCCCGGCGCGCGTGCCGGTGGTGACATGCATGGGCCGTTGGCAGTAAATGCGAGCATAATTCTTTTATTTTGTGAGGGTATTTCAAAGCTTGCCTGGTCGTTCCAAAATACGTTAGCTCTGAATAATCTTGTTCGCTGCATCATGTGCTACAAATTGCTTGCGCATGAGCTTCCTCGTTCTTCTAGTCCAGTACTAGATCATGTCCACGCCATCTAATCGGGCTCGGAGCAAATGCCACAAACATTCACCCGCAAAAAAATGCCACAAACATGGTCCTAAACTCCTAATCAACCCGCACCTGGTGAATGATGAGCTATATCAAATACTCCCTCCGTCCGCGAATAAGTGTACATATAGCTTTTGGTCTTAGTCAAAATTTTAAAATTTTGACCAACTTCATAGAAAATAATAGTAATACATATGACATCAAATTGGTATATTATGAAAGTACATTTCAAAACGGATCTAGTGATACTAATTTAGTGCTATAAATGCTTTTACTTTTCCCTAGAAAGTTGGTCGAAATTTTAAAACGTTGACTTAAGACAAAAGATAGATGTACACTTATTCGCGGACGGAGGGAGTATAAAAAAAGGCCCCATGCCACCGGTGAAAAGTATGATGTGATTATATAGGGTTTGGTCAGGTATCGATCGCCTGGCATAAATTTCAAAATCTATTAATTTTATCGAAACTGTTGGATTGAAATCCAATGGCCAGCACACCTTCATCCTCCTTGAGCGCAATCACCCCCTACACCTAGCTTCTTTGTGACCCCCCTCCCCCCCGGCATCTTTTCCGACGACGACAACATGATGAACTGCTCATCATGCCTCTGGCGAGGTCCTATCGAGCCCTTGCTGGCCGTCACGTCCCCATCTCGAGCTCGAGCTCTATCCGAATCATAGCGACATTCAAAATTGAAAGGCTTAGGTCTAAGCAATCACTTAGTGAAAAAGATTACTTGCACCAGTTCGTTTTGGTCTAAGTTTAGAACTATCTTCAACGGTTTGCCCCTTCCCCCTTCCCCTGAACCTGTCAACCCTCTGCCACGTCCATGTAGGCGACGTTGCGACCGCGGCGCCCCTGTCCCCGGCACAGTCATGGCAATGCCTCGCTGAGGACGACACAATTGATCTGAAAATTAGTCGTATGTTAAGAGCAAATGTGGAATATATAAGGTAGAAGCGCTCTATCTTCAAGTTGAACAAAATGATGTGTCATTTAAAGTGTAATGATATACTACTAGTTTGCATTAACAAGGGGAAGGACATATATTCGAATTTGTGTTGAGAATAACAAATCCAATCCAAACAAATTAACAAACATCCGGTCTGCCGGTGCCTATTTATTCGGCTTCCATTATTTTACTCCCCCGTCACAAAAAGGTTTGTAAATCTCCTCCGCACTCTTAAAAAAAGATCGTAATCTCCCGCAAATCCCCCACTTATCTCGCTTAAATACTCCCCCACCACCACCCCTTTCCCTCCTCACCTCACCCCAGCCCAGCGCCAAGTCAAGTCCATCTCACTCGCCAATGTCCATCACCACGTCCTCCACCCCGCCCGCGATCCTCGACATGCCGGCTCCCGACGTCGCCAGCAATGGCGCGCGCGCGGCGAGACGGAGGAGGCTGCTGTTGTGCGCCAACTACGTTGCCCTGCTCGGCGGCTCCGTGGCGTCCAGCCTGCTGTCCCGCTACTACTTCGCGCACGGCGGCCGCGATCGGTGGGTGGCAACGCTGGTGCAGTCGGTCGGGTTCCCGGTGCTGCTCGTGCCCGTCTACGCCGGCCGGCCCGCCGGGCAGCCCCGGCCGTTCGCGTGGTTCACGAGGCGGTTGCTCATGGCGTGCGTAGTCATCGGGGTGCTCATGGGGGTGAACAACCTGCTCTTCTCCTACAGCTCGTCCTACCTGCCCGTGTCCACCTCGTCGCTGCTGCTGTCGACGCAGCTCGCGTTCACGCTCGTGCTCGCCGCCGTCATCGTGCGCCACCCCGTAACCTTCTCCAACCTCAATGCCGTCGTGCTCCTCACCCTCAGCTCCGTGCTGCTGGCGCTGCGATCGTCCGACTCGGCTGAGCAGCCCGACGGGGGGAGCCGGACGAGGTACTTCATCGGCTTCGCGGTGACCCTGGGCGCGGCGGGGCTCTTCGCGGCCTACCTGCCTGTCATGGAGCTGCTGTACCGCAGGGCCGTGTCCGGCGGGTTCCGGATGGTGGTGGAGGTGCAGGTGGTCATGCAGGCCGCGGCGACCGCGCTGGCGGTGGTCGGACTGGTCGTGGCCGGCAGGTGGGGCGAGGAGCTGGCGCGGTGGGACAAGTCGCCGGCGGCGTACTGGGTGCTGGTGGCCGCGCTGGTGGCGGCGTGGCAGGCCTGCTTCATGGGCACGGCCGGGATGGTGTACCTCACGTCGTCGCTGCACAGCGGCGTGTGCATGACCGCGGTGCTCACCGCCAACGTGATCGGCGGCGTGGTCGTGTTCCGCGATCCGTTCGGCGCGGAGAAGGGCATCGCCACCGTCCTCTGCATCTGGGGATTCTCCTCCTACCTGTACGGGGAGTACAGCACGCGGCAGAAGCAGCAGGAAGGCGACGGTAAGGTGGCCGCCGCGTCCACCGGAGGCGACTCGGACAAGAGTGTTACAAGTGGCGACGTTGGTGAGGGAGGGGGTGCAGTTGAAACCGTTTGATCTAACCTCTTTTCATTTTTAGAGCTTTAGCATCCGGAACATGGGCCGGGGGGAACAAATCTCAAAGGAAGTACATCTAGTCTAATTGCACCTATTTCTAAGAAGAAAAAAAGTCTAGTTGCACAATGCATGCATGCGTGGCACATAAATTAGACATGCATGGGTGTCACAAGAGACAAAGCTAGGTTGTGTACATAGCGATCCATGAGGTTGGTGATTGTGGTTTGATGGTTGCTTGTTTGAAAGGTTTAATGTTTGCTATAATGTTTCGATGGACGAAATGGAAGGATGTTTGATGATGGAATGCTACCTTATGTGATGGTAACATGGACTAACAATCTTCACAAAATGTTGGTTCCTTTAGAGCCTAATCGGTGATCTTCTAACAGAAGAGAGAAATATTCCTCGGCTGGACTGCTCCAAATGTTGCCTTGTTTTGTGTACATGCGTCAACAATTTATCTGGCACAACCACAATTTATATATGTATATGCTTGTGTCATTGTGGAATGTGACCGTTGCCGTGCACATTTAAATGCTACTAATTTATTACCAGGTGATGTTACCTTGACAACCACTAGATTTACATAACAAAAAGGTGATTAGTAAGTTGTAACCCTGTTTTGTAATGTAGCCTCTTCTCTCGGTGTGGTATAAATCATGGCAATTGAATACACACATTAGTTGATTATATATTGCATAGGTACTTTAACAAAACAATTCAACAAAGCTTGAAGTTTAGTGACATGCAAAACCATAAGGTATGTTTAATAAGTGCATCGATGCAATCAATAGAAAACTGATGCATGGTGGTTTTATTCTGTTTACATAGCATATAGTGATGCCCTATAGCATATACCTGTGTGCGCACAAAAATAATAGTTCACTTCCTTAAGTATGAATCATGGTTGTTTACTCTCAGATATGGTGTTCGTAATATGATATTATAGGGATGCAAGTTTGGTTGGTTGAGAGGAGTAATCAGCATGAGAATGAGGTTCACACACATCAAAGTGGACTATAGTGGTCATACAACTAATTTGTACTCACACGGCCAATCATGCCTCGGGCATTTGGGTCTGAAGGATCTTCTGGGGCTTTTGCCTTGAGAGAAACAATGGAGAAGGGGAACAAAAGAAGAGGTAAATAAAAGAGCCGGAGAATTGACATTATCTACTTAAATGATGCTAAGTTTAGTGCATGTTTTGTTTTCTCTAAA